TGTGATCCTCAGTAAAAAAGGATTCCTCCAAGCTGCATAATTTATCAATACCTACACTTGCTTTAATCCTTCTACGTGAAGTGCTAATGCTGCTCGGAAACGCTGTCTCTTCAGTGGCGTACCCATGGGAGTTTTGGGGGTTAACCCCCCCTCCAGGACACTATTCCGACACTGTTACAGCTAAACAGATTTAACTGCAATGATGACGATTTGACGCGATCAAACACGACAGACCTTGGTTGATGAGGTGTTACCTAATCGAATATTATTTTAGAGGTGTTGAACTGTAATATTAATACTCCATAATTATTGTAATGAGTTTATAAGTATATTTATTATCCGAGCACTAATATCAAAGTTAAAATGTTTTGAGGCAATTGATAATAGTATATTCCATAACGAGAGTTGTAAGAAGCTTATTACATGCGAGTAAAAAAGTTGCGCGCGAGCCGCGTAACGGCGAGCGCAGTAATTTTACAAGCATGTAATAAGCTTACAACTCAAGTTGTGTACTATACTTTTTCTATCATTATTTTCGTTTATAAAAATAAAAATTAAATTACCACTATATTTACACTGACAGATTATTAATTTTTAATCTGTCAAAACAACGTCTGCTTATTCGTTTCCATGGTAACTCGACCAACTGACTTACGAGGCTTATGTAATATTACACATTTTTATAAACCTGAAGCGTAATTTTTTTTATTACGTGCTAGTCATTACGTGTCAGTATCTGTTATGATGCATTTACTTAGCATCCAAATAGTAGGTAATATACAATTTACTAGTAAGAGAGTAGAAAAAATATGTTATTTGCTGAAGTTATTAGTCATAATCATTAAAATGAACTGAATGAATGGAAGTCTATTAAATTAAAAAGCTAAATTTGTTTCATATGGAGAATTGCGATATTTAGTTAAAAGAAATTGTTTCCAACGGTTGTGGAAATAAGTTTATAAAAATAGATTCTCTTAGTTCTTAGTTTCTTAGTTTTTAATATGAAAATTCAACAAACAATAACTATTTCACGAATTACAAAGTTATCTTACAACTTACACTAGCAAAAGTGCAATGAAAATTTATGTTCAATGTTAAGTATATGGATGTTTACGGTTCGGGCGCTTGAATATAACCGACTATTGGCTCCTCCCTTTATCGATAAAGTAACCTTGAACGTTGCAGCTATATATGTTGAGTTATACTCACAAATTTTAAGGATTCAAAATGGAGGTAGCATAAAAAAATTTCAGTGCCGAACCAAAACCTCCACACAGGTAAATTCTAGGTGCGCTACTGTCTCTTTGCCAGCTTTTCGAGCTGTGGTAAAAGGAACTTCACTCAGATAATCTAGTAACACCTCATCTTGTTGCTTTGTGGAGATTTTCTGCCCTTTTGAACCACCCAACCGGGTATAGAGTGAAAATGATCCCGTCTTTGTTTGATTTTCCAGATGCACATGTGGATCACGTTCGGATCTGCAGCAGCTAATCTTAGTAATCAACCTTTTTTAAATTTGGGAATTACTCTTGTTTTTTGAGCGTCATTCAAAGGCATTCTACTCATTCAAAAGCCCTTTGACATTTAGCAAAGCCGTACAGCACTGCTATTTGACAGTATTACAATGTAAAAAAAGGGGAGAAGTGTAAACTATTCAGTGACCGCAGCTTTACATTAAAATCCCCTCCTATTACGCTTTTCTCTGTTGGAATAGCTCTGCTAGCGAAGCGATTTCTGCAGCCGCTTAAAATGTTTACCCAATATCAAGGGATATAATAGATAGATCTAAACCACACCTCACTCATTCTTCTCGCTACACAGGTATTCGTTTAAAAAAATCAGTCTCGGAACTTACTTGCTAGGACTCGTATATGACTAAAGTACTTCAATATATTTTTAAAATGTTTTGATGAAAGCCATTTTAAATATTTGATCTTGGAGAACATGAATATAAAAAAGGGAAGATATAAAAAGTTTATTAAGAACGTGTATACGGACATTACCTTTGCTACGCCAATGCAAAGATGGTTTTTTATCAGTTATAATAAGTATACTAAAAAACAAGCCAATAATAAAGTAATTAAATGAGTAACAAAACAAACACCCAATGTTTTACATCATCGTCTGAAACGATGCGATAAAACATAGTGCAACCTTCGTCATTCTATGTTTTGCAAAGAGAAATTCAATTGCACTTGAAATATTCCCAGATATATCGTGACGTTTGCCTCTTACGAAGTCACGAAGCTCCACGAAATTCGTTTTGCAACCCAAATTGATGTAGCTAGCAAATACCTTTTATTATATTCACAGGGAAATGAAATTCCTGTTGTTGTTTGTATGCTATGAATCATGAAAACTTTTTTTTAAAAAAACCCTTATAAAAGGTAAATATATTCTAAAAATGCCCTTACGGGTTACATCACAGAACGTTTTCAGACTAATAAATCCATCATCAGTTACCAGTTAAATGATGCTTTAGATATAAACAGATGAACTGCTATCGGTTTATTTTATACATTTTACTATAGAGATAAGAAAAAAGTAATACAACCCCAGTATAGAAGTTTGCTTCAAAAATCCAGATAGATGTTACAGAGAGATATTACATTACCAAAAACTTAACTTTTTTCTTTTATACTAAAAATAATATGAGCTTTGAAAAATAATACATTAATAAATAAGTATAATTCGCGACGTTTCGAAGGTTTATACCTAATTATGATGTTAGAAAACTGAAAGATCCCAATGTTTGATTGAAGGTGAGTGAAAACCTCAATAGAAAGGTGTCAAAATACAGTATTGTGCGAATTAATGGAATCACAGGCTGTTTTAATGAAAAAACAGTTTATTTAGTAAAAAATTATATTTTGACAAAACTATAAAGGTAAACTTACATCATTCAGTAGGAAATATGTCCCCCTTTGGCAGCAATTACTGCTTTTACGCGTTTTGGCATAGATTCTATGAGTTTCTGGCAGTTGTCAGATATCCTTTCATCTCGATACCAAACCTGAATGGCCGCTTCTATCATTTTTGTTTTAGTGGTACAGTCGATTTTTCGCAGTCTAGCTTGCAGTTTGCTAGTCTTTGCAAATGTTCAATGGGGTTGAGATCGGGCGAATTACCGGGCCAATCTAAAACATTAATCTTCTTATTTTTTAAAAATGCCATCATTTCCTTTGATTTGTGACAGGGAGCAGAGTCCTGTTGAAGAATCGTTCCTCGTTGGGGTTGACATTTTTAGAGTTGTTTGTCCAAATACTTTTCCAACATGGATTTGTATTTTTGCCTGTTCATCATGCCTTCAATTGGCACCAAAGATCCAACCCCCATGTATGAAAAACATCCTCAAAACATTTTCTTGACTGGATGTTTTACGGTTTGATCAATATGAGATGGTGTAAGCTTTTCATTGTCAGACTTCCTGACGAATTTCGACCGCTGTCCCTGAACCATAAAGTGGGTTTCATCTGTAAATAGGACTTTTTTTCCAGTCGCCTACAGTCCAATTAGAGTATTTTTTGGCCCACAGTAGCCTTTGTTTCTTCATTCGTTCAGTTAGAAGCTGTTTTTTCTGTGGACGAATCAGTTTGGATTTGTAAACGCCGTTGGTACGAGGATAGCTTTATTTAGCATTCAGGTATTGTTTCAGAAATGTAGAGATGTCTGCTGTGATGTTTTTGCATGCCTGATTGACTACAAAGAGGCTTTCGATAGAGTCAGGCATGAACAAATAATGGAAGTGCTAAAGAGATCAGGTATTGACGGAAGAGATCTAAAAATAATAGCTTACATGTATTGGAATCAATCAGCAGTACTCCGAATATACAGATGATGTCAAAATCTTAAGGGGAGTGAGACAGTAAACAAAATAACGTAAACAAGTAAAACATATGGACTGGATATAAACACCAGCAAAACCAAGCTAATGATCATCAACAAGGAAAACTCTCTGGAGCAAATTTGTATGAGAATTGAACGTGTTTCACAGTACAACTACTTGGAAACTATAATAAATGAGTCGTGGGACAATACCCAAGATATTAAATGTCGCATGGAAATGGCAAAAAGTGCATTCTTGGCTATGAGCTGTGTTCAAGAGCCATGACCTCACCCTAGAAACAAAAATAAGGCTCCTTAAATGTTATGTGTACTCAGTACCTCTGTACGGAGTAGAAACTTGGACATTGAAGGCGGAAACTCTATCAAAACTTTAGGTTTTTGAGCTACGGTTATTCAGAAGGATCCTGAAGATACCATGGACAGACGAAGTCACCAATGAAGAAGTACTACGGAGCATGAATACAACCGCAGATTTAGTCAACATCGTGAAAAGCCGTAAGCTGCAGTACTTGGGACATATAATGAGAAATCAAGGCAGATACGAGCTACTCCAATGCATTTTGCAAAGTAAAATTTAAGGAAAGCCTCAGAACGAAGAAGAATATCATGGCCTGCTAACCTTAGAGCATAGTATAGAAAGACCTCAACACAGCTATTCCGTATATCAACCAACAAAGTCATCATAGCCAGAACGATCGCCAACGTTCGGAACGGACAGGCACCCTAAGAAGAAGATACCTAAGAACAGGCTGTGCCCACACGCTCGATCGCGACAGCTTTTTGGGTCAATCGCGGAAGAATTCAAAATTAATCCGTCCCTGGTCGAAATATAATCTAGATTTCTAAGGCAATGCGATCGCGCGACATTCGGCGAATGTTACCGATTCTTCTCGAATGTCTGTTTCATATATAATAAGCTGCGGCGACAGACAATTAGTAGGTCAGTATTTATTAATTTAGGATAAGTACAAGTTTTATGTAAAATAGCAATATTTAAAACACAAAATGGGTGCGGTACCGTTTTAGTGATTTGGAACAAGAATTTTTGTAACGTTACAAGTTATTTAGTCGATGTTAAAAATGTATTATGTTTTGAAAATTATAATAAAGAGATTTTGTTGTACTGATTGTAAGTAAATAATTAAAACTCTTACCATTTGCATTATCTCGCTGAAGGCCACCACATTGTATGTGAGATCGGCGATTTCCGCCATTATAGTACTGCTCGGACCCCATGGATCGTTCGAGGTCGCTTCTCTTACTTTCTTTTGAGCATCGGAGTAATTGTGGGCGAAATTCTTGATGTTTCGCCTGATGCCAGCGACATTCACTTGCATATCGTGTGAACCTCGTCTCATCTGCAAACAGAAAACATTGTAGAATATGATTACTTTCGTGAATTACGTGAATAATGGGTTTTACTACGAAAATTCAAATTAAGCAAAATTTTCTGATTTTACTTTAAGGTTGATCTGCACCCCCCAAAAGACAAACTACACATTCAAAAAATTTGAGAAGGTATATGTGATAACTAGAAGCATTTTGACAAATTTTGAGCAAACTTCATGTTTTCATCTTCGAAAAAACTCAAAAAAACTTTTTTCCAAGTATAAAGCGGGAATACGAGACATACAATTTTGTTAATTTCCTTAAAGCGTAAAGATATATTCCTAAGAAATACTTATGGATTTTTTGAAAATTTTTGAATGCAAAGTTTTGTCACAATAAGAAAAAATAATGTTCCGGCCTATAATAAAGCTACCGGTAAGTTACCAGAAAACATTTTAATAACAACATATATAAAACTGTAAAAGTGTAAAATATTTTTGCAATAAAACGTTGAATATTTTTTCCTAAACATATGAAAACTCTCGTTAAACAAGAATTATATCTTGAACTGCCGCCATCAAATTGTATCGTAGAGAGATGGCTCCATCTGAAACATCGGTAATATTAACACTTAGACTGCCGCCATAGTGAAAAAAGAGAGTCCTTGCAGCCGGACATATTTCTATCCCATATAAATAACATACAAGCGAGAATCAAAAGCTTATTCTCGCGGCAACAGAATCAAATTGGCCGTGCATCACGGCATGCTTCTCATGGCAGTCAAAGTGTTAATCATCGATAGATAACCTTACTTTCGACCTCGAAACGCTTCAAACCAATCGTCATACTAATAGGGTTGCCATATTAATTACTTTGTACAACACACGCAGATTACAAGATTTAATAAGAATGTTATCGGTTTGAATTTTGAACTGGCATGCTGAAACTTGCAGAATAGTAGATACTGTAACTTTTGTTTTAAAAGTATGATTTCATAAAATTTACAATCTACAAGTAATATATCTATAAAAAACGTAGTTTTTAAAAACCTATTTAGGCGTTTTTAGTTAATTTTATTTAAGAATTTATAAACAATAGTGTTCATTGCATAACGTATTAGTGGTCATTTTTATATTAGAATTGACATTAGTTGGCCTCCAGGATAGGATTTATTATGTAAAAAAGAAGAAGACTACATATTTAGGGCACATATTACGAGAGAACGATACACTCTTCACCAACTGGTATTAGAAGGAAAGGTAGATAGTAAGAAAAGTCTAGGACGTAAAAAGATATCATGTATGGATAATATTCGCTTAATGGACAGAAATCCATAGTTATGAAATACTTCGCAAATGTTGTTAATTAATAGAATAATTAAATCCTGACTATATAACATCTAACCTGACAACACCATGTAAAGTGGACGTCTACGCATAAATGCACGGCAGCTTAAAAAGAATAATTAAATCTTCAGTGGTAAAATATTTCGGAAAAACATTCGGATTTCCAATATAACTTTAATTGCCAAATTATTCCGATAATAATAAAAGGGCAGTTTTTGCGAGACGTCCTGCAGGACAAAAGGAAGGTGCCGTCCCGTGCCCTGTCCCAAAAAAATGTTGTCCTGTCTCGTAGCAAAAATCGCTGTCCCGTTCCTTCCCACGGGACAAAATGCGAAACAAAGTGCGAGACGGGACGTCCCGAGTCTCGAGTGCATCCCTATAAACAGCAGTCCAGAATGTCGAAATAAATAACAAGTTCTCCACTTTACAGGAATTTTATTGTGAACCAACTCGTTTTATATTCACCGATAAATATAAACATTTCTGAATTACTAGATCAACATTCAGTGCAACAGGTACCTAGACAAAAACAACAAAGTCTATTTTGATGCAATAAAAAACAAGAACTTGTTCAGCTAAATATAATTACTGTTTGTTGATAAACAAACCATCTAGTTCTACCTATTCCTACTTGATTTTAACCAAAAATAAAAACACAATAACTTTTATTACAGCTGTCCAGAATGTCCAAGAAATTAAGAAACAAGTTCTCAACTTAACAAAAATTTTATTGTGAACCAACTCGTTTTATATTCACCGATAAATATAAACAGTTTTGAATTCCTAGATCAACATTCAGTGCAACAGGTACCTATACAAAAACAACAAAGTCTATTTTGATGCAATAAAAAACAAGAACTTGTTCAGCTAAATATAATTACTGTTTGGTGATAAACAAAACATCTAGCTCTATCTATTCCTACTTGATTTTAACCAAAAATAAAAACACAATAACTTTTATTACAGCTGTCCAGAATGTCCAAGAAATTAAGAAACAAGTTCTCCACTTAACAAAAATTTTATTGTGAACCCACTCGTTTTATATTCACCGATAAATATAAACAGTTTTAAATTCCTAGATCAACACTCGGTGCAACAGGTACCTAGACAAAAACAACAAAGTCTATTTTGATGCAATAAAAATAGGAACTTGTTCATCTAAATATAATAACTCTTTATTGATAAACAAAACATCTAGTTCTACCTATTCCTACTTGATTTTAACCAAAAATAAAAACACAATAACTTGTATTACAGCTGTCCAGAATGTCCAAGAAATTAAGAAACAAGTTCTCAACTTAACAAACATTTTATTGTGAACCCACTCGTTTTATATTCACCGATAAATATAAACAGTTTTGAATTCCTAGATCAACATTCGGTGCAACAGGTACCTAGACAAAAACAACAAAGTCTATTTTGATGCAATAAAAATAGGAACTTGTTCATCTAAATATAATAACTCTTTGTTGATAAACAAAACATCTAGTTCTACCTATTCCTACTTGATTTTAACCAAAAATAAAAACACAATAACTTGTATTACAGCTGTCCAGAATGTCCAAGAAATTAAGAAACAAGTTCTCAACTTAATAAAAATTTTATTGTGAACCAACTCGTTTTATATTCACCGATAAATATAAACATTTCTGAATTACTAGATCAAAATTCAGTGCAACAGGTACCTAGACAAAAACAACAAGGTCTATTTTGATGAAATAAAAAACAAGAACTTGTTCATCTAAATATAATTACTGTTTGTTGATAAACAAAACATCTAGTTCTACCTATTCCTACTTGATTTTAACCAAAAATAAAAACACAATAACTTGTATTACAGCTGTCCAGAATGTCCAAGAAATTAAGAAACAAGTTCTCAACTTAACAAAAATTTTATTGTGAACCAACTCGTTTTATATTCAACGATAAATATAAACATTTCTGAATTACTAGATCAACATTCAGTGCAACAGGTACCTAGACAAAAACAACAAGTCTATTTTGATGAAATAAAAAACAAGAACTTGTTCATCTAAATATAATTACTGTTTGTTGATAAACAAAACAACTAGTTCTACCTACTTGATTTTCATCAAAAATAAAAACACAATAACTTGTTACAATTACAATAAGCAACAGAAAACAGTAAGCCCCAAGCAAATAGAGATTTTTACGAAACGCTACAAGAAATAAGACGAAGAACAACGAAACACCATGATATCAGGATTCTATAGCGCTAGAAATCTATCACCGTCAAGAACAAACTTTTTAGAGCGTAAAACAAATATATTTACCAAAAATATCTACATTCTATGAGTTTTTCATATCTTTGTACCAATATGTGTACATTCAAATGTTTCTTTTGTTAAATGTGATAGTCACAAAATACATATAATGTTCAAATAATCTGATTGACTGTTTCATAGTCGTAATCTTCATATCTATAACGACGTTATCATGTTTGAGTACTTAATCTTAGTACGAATACGTTAGCGTCACTAGTGATATGAATAGTGTTCTCATTAGAACAAACAAAAATCTGGGAAACAAGAAAATAGTTTTTGAAGCTGTTTTATTGTTTCTCAAAATATTGGTATTTACAAAAAACAGCTAAAAATATAAGATAAGCTTATTAAATAACGAGACTAATGCGGTTAGAGAAGAAGTATACACCTGCGACCGATAATGTTTTTGCAGTTTTGTTTCGCGTGAAAACCTTCTTCGGAATACAGTATCTTTCGTTTCTGCAAACACGCTCTCCGTATAGCGAAGCCTTCGTTTCCAAAAATAGACCAGTCTATATATGTGAAAAAATCATTGATTTCACATAAAAATCTTTTACATATATTTGAAGGTTCTAAAAGGTGTATGTGGAATAGCTGATAACAAATCTTGATGACGTACAGCTGGTTTTGCTTTGTTGTTATTAATCAATCGTAAAAAGTGAAAAAAATATATTTTGTTGTAAGTGTTAAAAGTTGTAGATCATAAAAAGTTTTTTAATTTTGAGAGTTTCCAAATTAAAATACATAAGCAATTTACCGAGATAATTGCAAAAACACTAATTTTTGCAGTAATTTATAAATGTTAATATGTAACTTTGTTCTTTAATGACATGTAATATAACTACTTGAAATTGTAACAGTTAATGCGTTATTACGTGTGCTAAATTTGAACCAGACCATCATCATTCAAATCCAAATCATCCAATCCATCCAAATAGTTTATATGTTATTCAATTTGTTTATTCCGGATATTGATTTTTTAAACTACATCTGCACTTGCCTAAATAATGATACTATGGGTATTTTGTAAATCGCAATGATATTTTTTGTCACATGTTTCTAAGTAAGCACAATGAAAAGCAGGTGAAAAAACACACTTTCAAAAAAAACATAACCTTCTATGACTATGAACAGAACCATTTTTTTCTTAAAATTATGACTCAACTTATAGATGGCATGTACAGTGAAGGAGTAAAAAGTTATAACCCGTTAAAATGATCGTAGTCGTAAAATACCGCCACATTCAAATTGAAAGGCGCTGGCAAAATTTGCAATATCTCGGTTTCTATGGCACACAGAACCTTTATTAATATATTTTTTAAACTGGACGTAAGAATTGAAGTTTTTACACTTCAAAAAAGCGCGCCTCCAGACTCTACTAGAGTCTTCAAGAGTATT